ACCGAGACCGACTGGGCGACCAACACTCTCGTTCTCAAAACGAAGTGTGGACAAATGTATCGCGTACCTTTCATAGCTACCACTGCGGCACCACGCCCCGATCCTCCTCCCCCGGAGCCTTCCGTGCCCACACCATCTTCTTCTATCACTGTCACTTCGCCTCGGCAGTTCGCCCACTTCATCCGACAGGACGACGTCACCTTCTTTATGGTGAACGTGACGGATCTCTTACACTATGATCCACCCTGTCTCGACGCCGAGCTCATCCCTCTGGAGCCAGATCCTCCTCCAATCTCCATGGCTCCCATCTCCACATCCCAACCTCCGCCGTTTGTCGAGTCCACCCCGCCTTCGCACGCTGACGCTGACGCTGAGGAACTCGCACGCTATACGGCCGACTTAGAGCCCGCAGTTTGTGACCTCATTCGAGAGTACCACGACGTTTTCCCATCGTCGTTCTCGTACGCCGACATCCCACCGATGCGTGACGTCGAGCACTCCATTCAGCTTGTGTCTGACTATCGTGTTCACCACCAGGCCCCGTATAGACTCTCGATCCCCGGGGCCACTGAACTCAAGCGTCAGCTTGAGGAGCTCCTGAGACTGGGTTTCATTAAGCCCAGCAACTCCCCCTGGGGTGCACCCGTCCTCTTTGCTCGCAAAGCGGATGGAACTCTTTGTCTCTGCATCAACTATCGCGGTCTCAACCGCTACACGGTTAAGAACAGCTACCCCATGCCGCGTTCCGATCAGCTGTTCGACCACCTAGCAGGCAACCGCTTCTTTACGAAGATTGATCTTCGTAGCGGCTACCATCAGATCCGCGTCTCTGCAGCCGACCAGCCGAAGACTGCGTTCCGATCGCGATTCGGCCACTACGAGTTCACGGTGATGCCATTCGGGCTCACCAACACACCCGCTACCTACCAGAGGCGATGAACGACATCTTCAGGGACATCCTGGAGCAGTACGTTCTCGTCTACCTCGACGATATCCTGGTCTACAGTCGTACCCTTGAGGAGCACCTCAGACACCTCCGCGACGTCCTTAACCGCTTGCGCAGACATGGCTTCTACGCCAAGATGAGCAAGTGCCGCTTTGCGCAGCATAAAGTGGATTTCTTAGGACACTACGTGTCTGACCAGGGTCTCCACATGGACGATGCGAAGGTCACTGCTATTGCGGAGTGGCCCGCTCCCGCATCCACCAAGCAACTTCGCAACTTCCTAGGCTTGACCAGCTATTATAGTAACTCCATCCAGGGATACGCTAGGTATTCCTACGTCCTTACCTCCACCCTCCTCCGGAAGAACCCACCCTGGGCTTGGACACCACTCCACGAGGACGCCTTCCGCGCCCTCAAGAAGGCGGTGACATGCGCACCGGTTCTTCACCTACCCGATTTTGAYCRCCCTTTTATCSTTACCACCGATGCGTCAGACTTTGYTRTAGGASCAGTGCTTTCYCAGGTCTTCCCTTCCTCTCCTGATTCCTCTCATCCTCGTATCCCTCGCTTCCCACCACCTACCCCTACCACTGCTTCCCGACTGACGCCTACTCGTCCAGCTACTGACGAGTCTTCTATTGACTATTCCCCTACCATCGCCGAGGACGGCACTGTCGAGTCTCGCTCAGGTCATTGTCCGATAGCCTTCTACTACCGTCAGCTCCTGCCCACCGAGATAAACTACACTGCTGATGAACGTGAGGTTCTCGCAGTAGTTCATGCCGCTCGGCACTGGTGTCACTACCTGCACGGGGCACCGTTCACGGTGCGTACGGACAACTCTGTTGTCCAGGGCTTTTTGACAAAACCGAAGCTCACTCCTCGACAGGCTCGCTGGTGGCGCGATCTATCCGAGAGTAGTTTCACCACTGAGCACATCAAGGGTGAGACTAATCGGGTCGCCGATGCCTTATCCCGACACCCTGACCACGACCAGGAACAGATCCAGCTCTTTTCCATCTCGGTCACCACTGTCCACCACTCGGTGATCGATGAGTTTTGCACTCAGTACCGCCACTGCCCCGACTATCGCGACATCCACGCGACCCTTCGAAGTGGCAAGGCCGTCCCGAACTACTCTCTCGGGGACAACGGTCTTGCGTACTGGTACGGTTCACAGGGCACCAGAGAGCCCCGTATTTGCGTTCCCTCCACTGGACAGCTACGTGTCCGAGCAGTAGCAGAGTTCCATGACCAGGCCGCCGCCGGTCATATGGGCTTCCACAAGACGTTGGCTCGTGTGAGCCGCCTGTACGTCTGGCCGAAGCGCAAGGACTTTGTGAAGGACTACGTCACAGTGCGAACCACCTTCCTTATGGTTTGCTCCAGCCTCTTCCTATCCCTGAGGGTCGTTGGCAGTCCATCTCGATGGACTTTATCGGTCCCCTTCGTTCTCCGACCCCTCGCGGTCATGATGCTATCCTGGTCGTCGTCGACCGCTTCACGAAGCGTGCACGCTTTGTTCCGTGTCGCTATGCCATCAGTGCACGTGAGGTCGTCAACATCGTGTTTGACCGAGTCATGCCTGACCACGGCTTACCTCTGAGCATCATATTTGACCGTGACCCGCGCTTTACCAGCCGATTCTGGCGACGGCTCCACGAGTTGTACGGCACTCAGCTCCGCTTCTCCTCGTCTTACCATCCTCAGATTGATGGTCAGACCGAGATCACGAACAGGACTCTCGGAGATATTATCCGAAAGATTGTTCGTGACGACCAGCAGTGGGACCTCCATCTTGCCCACACGGAGATAGCCTACAACCACGCCGTCTCGCCAGCCACGGGATGTCGCCTTACTATTGCGACATCGGCTATCACCCTCGTGTTCCCGCGGACTTCCTTCGACCGTCACATATGCACCCCGACACGAGTTGTCCCGCACTGGATGATTGGGTTGCACACATGACGTCGATCATGAAGACCGCACATGAGCACATAGCCGCTTCCCAGACTCGCATGGCAGCACGTGYGAACCRATCGAGGATGGACCATCCATTCAAAGTCGGTGATGATGTGCTTATCGACGCCCGCCACTTACAGCTCGGAGCGGACACGCTTCACAAGTTTCGGCGTCGCTTCTTTGGTCCATGCCGCATTTTCCAGGCCGTCGGTTCTGATACGGCATCTAGCCCGGTCAGCTTCCGTGTGAAGCTGCCCGACTACCTACGCCAGGCTCGTGTGCACGATGTCTACCATGTGTTACTGCGTCCCTACCACAGACCGTCTGAGCGTTTCGCTAGACGACCATACGATCGCCCTCCACCCATCATGGTGGACAACCATGAGGAGTTCCTCATTTCAGACATCATTGGTCGCCGAGTCACCGACGACAACCCTCCTCACGTCGAGTATCTCATACGTTGGAAGGGTTACCCTAACGAGGAGGCTACCTGGGAGCCCCTCGAGCACTTGCAGCACGCTCGCATGTTGGTGCGTGCCTATAACCATGCTCGTCGTGCTGGGTTCACTACTCCTCCTCAGCCCACTGACCCTCCTCCTTCTCCCTCGGCTGAGGAGACCGCTGAAGTCGAGCCTGCTCCATCTGAGGCAAACCTTCAGCAGCAACCGGATGCTTCTGAGCGTCCACAGCGCACTCGTCGTCGTCCTGCTCGATACGACGATTGACTCTGACTTACCTTCCCACATCCTTGACTTCTCAGTACTCCATCCACTCCAGTTTTGCTACTTCAGCTCGTCGACGTTGTGGCTCTTCCTCGACGACATTCCGGACTTCTCATCGTGGACGTCATCGGCAGCTTCATGGACTTCGTCACGATCAGCTCTGCCTACTTCAGACGTCGCCACTCTCTTACCACTTTACCCTATAAAGTACCCTGCTTGTGTCGCATGATGGTCTCCCTTTAGCCGGGTTCCTCTGAGTTGGGCTCTCCCTTGGTACACGCATAGGCATCGGGACCGTAGCGTTGCCCTGGCTTCCCATCTTACGGATCTAGCTCCGACTTCCCTCACTTTAGGAGTCATTTGCATGATTCCCTTACCCATCATCTTTCTACCCTTTGCCGACCCTCACGCCCTAGTTAGGCAGCCCCGCATGCTTCATCTAGGTGCGCCCAGTATACCAGGCTCCCTTGTTCCCTTGCATGGTCGACCCTCCATAGCGGTCACCCCTTAGTCGAGCATTACCCGCCCTGATGGTCGATCTGTTAGGGTCATTGGTTCTGTTCGCTCCCAGTTCCCTACCCTCATTGAGCCTGATGACATGTGTTTCCCCTGTCACTATGTGTGGATGTCCTTAGGAGTTTTCGACCCCTAGGCTGCATTCGCCACCCTCAGAGACCATCCCACCCTTTGGTTTGCGACACACTTCTCCTGTGACATACGGTTGACTTGTTGTTGCTTTGTTGCTCTCAGACTGAGGCTACTGCCTTTGACATTTCTAGGATTTAGTTGTTCTGCTTTTGCTGTTTTTAGGACTTATACACTAGTCAGTTGTTCCCAGACTGAGGCTACTGCCTCCAACATTCTAGGATCTAGTTGTCACTACTTTCTGCTTTCCTAGGACATGTATGCTAGTTAGTTACTTCTGCTTTCCTAGGACATGTATGCTAGTTAGTTGCTTTTGCTTTCACTTAGGCTGTTAGTTGTGACATTGCTGTTTTGTGACATTTTCTATCCTAGGTTGCATCGCATGGACTCAGCATGGAGCTTGCTCCGCATCCTAGACTACTCAGGTTTTCTTTTTCTTTGGTAGAGTTCCGCTTCTTGGCAGAAGCGTGTTTGCATCTAGGCGATCCATCACAGGCCGAGGATCGTGTAGTGGACCTCTGGTCGGCCTGTGAGACCAGCCCCTTGGCCTGTTCTCACAGGCCTGTGTTCTATTCGGGGGCAGTCCAGTCCAGTCCAGGCCGGTACCTCTGTCGGTACCAGCCAGTCCAGTCCAGTCCCGTCAGTCCGCTGGGGTATACCCCAGCAGTTGTCTGTTTTCGTCCTCATTCTTCACTTGCACATTTTGGAGTACGTGCGTGGAGTCTCGCGTGGGAGCTGCGCTGTGCATCTTGCTCCCGCCCTTCTTCCTCCATCTCCGTCTCTATCATTAGCGGAGCACCACACCTGGTGGGTCCGCTACACTTACCGCCCGGACATCCCATTCTCAAAACTACAACTGCATTAGGTGTCTCGATGATAAGAGAGGGCGTGAGTTACTAGTCGGTCTACTTAGGGGCTAATAGGTGATTGCTTGAGCCTGGCGTCCGGAGTTCCCGTACAGCGAGGCTCGTTCGACTACGCTTCCACCAGGGCTGGGTCACTAGCCCTTGTGCCTGTCACTACTGTTGGGTCCAAGTTCCCCTCGATGGTAGGGTAATGGCCCTGAGTGCTGGTCACAATGAGGTCAGATAGTAGGAATAGGGGGTACGCTTGCGGCATGCTGCTGCCACGGACGTCTCCACCAATCCCCTCGACATCACCGCTCTCCACGTCGCTGCTGTCATGATCGCCACCTCCATCCTCGTCATAATTGTTGTTGTTGTTAGTGCTGTTGTTGTTGTTGCTGTTGTTACTGCCGTCGCTGTTGTTGTTGCTGTCCCCCGTCTCATCGTGCTCGCCCATCTCACCCGATCCCCGCTCACCTTCATCATTGTTGTTATTGTTGTTATTGTTGTTATTGTTGTTGTTGTTGTTGTTGTTGGCACCATCGCTGTTGTTCTTGTTGTCGCTGTTGACACCCCCAATCCCCTCGAAGTCACCACGCACTGCCCCGCTGCTGCCGTTGTCGCCACCACCGTCGGCGTCAGCGTCGGCATTGTTGTTGTTGTTGTTGTTGTTGTTGTTGTGGTTGTTGTGGTTGTTGTTATTGTTGTTGTTGTCGGTGTTGTCAGCGTTCTCCCCCCTATCCACCATGTCATTGGTGTTCTCTCCCCTCTCCTATATCGCGTTGGTGTTGCCGTCGTCGTCGTTGTTGTTGTTGTTGTTGTTGTTGTTGTTCTTGTTGTTGTTGTTGTTGTTGTTGTTGTTGTTGTTGTTGTTGTTGTTGTTGTTGTTGCTGTTGTCGTTGTTGCCGTTGTTGCCGTTGTTGCTGTTGTTGTTGTTGTTGTTGTTGTTGTTGTTGTTGTTGTTGTTGTTGTTGTTGTTGTTCTCCTCCTTCACTCCTTTCGCACCCAGTTCGCCCATTCGCCGCTCGCCGTCGTTGTTAAATTCACTATTGTTGTTGTTGTCAATGTTGTTATTGTCTTTGTTGTTGTTGACCATCCCACCCTTCTCTCCAATCCCGCCCATTCCTCGCCTCTCCTCTGCCGACCCCTGCTCAACCTCCAATATTGTTGTTGTAGATGTTGTTGTTGTTACTATTGCTGTCTCCGCTGCCGCTGCCGCCATTTCCACCGCTGCCAATAGCCCCCACTTCCCTTCCCACTCACCTGCGTCATCAGTGGCATATTCCCCCTCCCCATCGCCAACTGCACTCCCCTCCTCGACCTGGCAGGACAGTGCCATCAAGTTGGCCCACCTTTCTTCTCCCCCCTCCTCATCATCAGAGGCATATTCCCTCTCTTCATCGCCAGCTGCACTCTCCTCCTCAACCTGGTAGGACAGTGCCATCAAGTTAGCCCACCTTTCTTCTCCCCCCCCCTCATACTCATCACACTCATGCACAGTAACAGCACAACTCGTCTTTCTTTCAGATTCCCAGATCTCAGACATAGCGCAAATACTTGTATAATAGCGGAGGACATTGCAATCATCATCTTGCTCACCTTCAGCAACTTCTGTAAGCGAGACGTCATCTTCATTGTCACCGAGTGTATCCTGTAGTCGAGATGCTCCACGTTGTAGCTCCCCTACCATCTCCATCCCTCACCCAAATTGTTGCGCCACGTATTGCTATTCGTCGTCGGTCTTCAACGCTGGCGCTACCCCTGCCCGCGCGTCACGGACATTCTCGTCCCTACAGCAGATGCCACGTGGCAATTGAAGAGCCACGCGCCACTGCCGGGCGCGTGCACAGGCCTAGCAGCCTGGGAGCTTACGTCCCCAGGCGCTAGTCGAGCCGAGGGAACCGGGCCTACCGGTCCGCCGGCGTCGGGGCTCTAGCGCTAGCGCAACGTCTCCCCAACCTCAGATGAAGGCGGGGTAATCCTCGTAACGCCTATCATCATCATCAGTTAATCCAGACCAACCAGTGACTCACCCCCTCTACTCGCCCACCACAGCCCTAGTCTGCCACACACAGTCTAGCTGATTTAAAGGGGTTACTTATCATCGAGACGCCTATCATCATCATTAGTTGATCCAGACCAACCAGCGACTCACGCCCTCTACTCACCCACCACAGACCTAGCTGATATTAAGGGGGATGGTTATCATCGAACGCCTATCATCATTATCAGTTGATTGTGACCTCCTCCCAGCCCTATGGTTGTGAATGTGTGTATGTACTCTGTATCTTAGATGTGTGCCCGTGGGCTATGTGTATGTTCGTAATGTGTATGTGGACCCCATTTCATAGCAGACGCTGCTCCCCACCATGGAGCATCTGCGAGGTGAGTACTGAGTAGTGGCGAGAGGCGCTCTTATCACTTCCACCAGTACATGCGTGTGTGTGTACCTTGAGCTATGTGTGTGTATAGTATGTGTGTATGGTATGTGATAGACTATGTATTGTGGTTGTGCTATCTGGGGTGGTATCTCTGTGTGTGAGTGTATGTGGTA